AAAAATAAAGGAACATCCAAGTACAGGAAGCACATAGACTCCTAACAGACACACTCAGTAAAGATCTTCACCATGATACATATAGTCAAACTTTCAACAATAAAACATAAAGAAACGATTCTAAAATGTGCATGAAAGAAATGCCAGATTATCCTCAGAAGTTCCCCAATTAGACAAACAGCTGATTTATCATCAGAAACACTGCAGGCTAGGAGAGAATAAAGAGACATAGTCCAAGTCCTAAAAGAAAGAAACTTTCAACCCAGAATACTATATGCAGCAAAGCTCTCATTTATAAATGAAGGAGAAACAAAGACCTTCCAAACCAATCAGAAATTGGAAGAATTTGTCAGTTGTCCAGGCTTATAAATAATTCTATCTTAAAGATTTATTTATTTGAAAGACAGAGTTACAGAGAAGCAGAGGCAGAGAGAGAGGTCTTCCATCTGCTGGTTCACTCCCTAAATGGCTGCAATGGCTGGAACTGGGGCCATCCAAAGCCAAGAGCCAGGAATTTCTTCCAGGTTTCTCATGCAGGTCATCTTATACTGCTTTCCCAGGCCATAGCAAAGAGCTGGATCAGAAGTAGGGCAGCTGGTCTCAAACCAGCACCCATATAGGATTCTGGCACTGCAGGTGGCAGCTTTATCCACAATGCCACAGTATGGGCCAAACAAACGATTCTTAATGATGTGATACACACAGAAACAGGGAACAATAGTCATCATTATGAAAGAATGTGAAAGCACAAAACCTCCAGTAAAAGTACAAGGGAAATCCAAAGCAAACAAATGGGAAAATTGTAAGAACAAATCGTGACTTATCAATAATAACACTGGATGTAAATGACCTAAATTCTCCAATTAAGAGATACAAACTGGCTAAATAGATTTAAAAACAAGATCTATCTATTTGCTGCCTACAAGAAACACACCTCACCACCAAAGATACACACAGACTGAAAGTGAAAGGATGGAAAAAATATCCCATGCTAACAGAAAGCAGAAACAAGCAGGTATAGCCATTATAGTATCATACAAAATAGACTAACACAAAAACTATTAAAAGAGACAAAGAAGGGCATCATGTAATGATTAAGGGGTCAATTCAACAGAAAGATGTGACTACAATAAATGTGCATGCACCCAATGCCAGGATGCCTGACTATTTAAAACAAATGTTAATGGATCTAAAGAGAGACATAGTCTCCAATACAATAGTAATGAGCTAAAATCAATCCCTGGAGAAGAGAGAGTCTCTTCAACAAATGGTGCTGGGAAAATTGGATCTCCACATGCAGAAGTATAAAACAAGAGAACATTGGGCAAACTCTGTAAGACATTGCCATTGGCAAAGACTTCTTGGAAAAGACCCCAGAAGCCCAGCCAATCAAAGCAAAAATAGACAAATGGATTTATATCAAGCTAAGAAGCTTCTGCACTCAAAGGAAACACTCAACAAACTGAAGAGTCAATCAACAGAATGAGAGACAATATTTACAAAGTATGCAACTGATAGAGGATCAATATCTAGGATCTATAAAGAGCTAAAGAAATTCAATAACAACAAAACAAACAATACAGTTAAGAAATGGGTAAAAGATTTGTACCAGTATTTTTCAAAAAGGGAAATTTAAATGCCTAACAGACACATAAAAAATACTCAGGATCACTAGCCATCAGGGAAATGCAAAGAAAAACCACAATGAGGGGCCAGCAGCCATCTGCAATGCTGTCATCCCATATGGGCACCGGTTCAAGCTCTGGCTGCTCCACTTCTGATCCAACACCCTGCTAATCACCTGGGAAAGCAATGGAAGATGGCTCAAGTACTTGGGCCCCTGAACCCATGTGGGAGATCTGGAGGAAGCTCCTGACTTCATCCTGGCTCAGGCCTGGCCATTGTGCCCATTAAGGGAGTGAATCAGAGGATGGAAGATCTCTCTCTCTCACTTGCTCTTGCTCTCTCTCTAACTCTACTTTTTAAATAAACAAAACAAATCTTTTAAAAAACACCACAGTGAGGCTTTATCTCAACCCAGTTAGAAAAACTCTCATACAGAAATCAAAAAAACTATAAATGTTGGTAAGGATGTGGGTAGAAAGTGTCCCTAATACACTACTGGTGGAAATGTAAACTAGTACAACCATTGTGGGAGACGGTATGGAGATGTCTCAGAAATCTGAAAACAGGTCTACCATATGACCCAGCTGTTCCACTCCTGGGAATTTACCCAAATGAAATTAAATAAATCAGCATGTGAAAGAACTATCTGTACCTTCATGTTTACTGCAGCTCAATTCACAATAGCTAAGATACAGAATCAAGCCAGATGTCCATCTGCTGAGGACTTGATAAAGAAAATGTGGTATATGTACACCATGGAATACTACTCAGCTGAAAAAAAGAATGAAATCCTTTTTTTTTGCAACAAAATGGATGCAACTAGAAATCATTATACTTAGTGAAATATACCAGTCCTAAAAAAGACAAATATCCTATGTTTTCCCTGATCTGTGGTAACTAATAGAGTACAAAAAATGTTAAGTATATGAGTGAAATGGATATTTTGGGATTTGATTATTGTTTGCAGCCCTTATCTCTACTGTTAAGGAGCAGTGTTTTTTTTATTATTTGTTGAATTCTTTACTTATTATGATTATAAAATAAACTGAAAGCATGTCATTCTAAAAATTGAAAGAAAAAACAAGGAAGGAGGAGAGAGGGTGACAGGGAGAATAGGATGGGAAACATCATGATGCTCCTAAATCTGTATATAGGAAATTTCTTCACTTACATAAATGAAAATATTTTTAAAGTTGATGGAAAATGTACATTAATTTTAAAAACTATAGGGTAAGGATTTGATGCAGTGGTTAAGATACTGCTTGGGATGACCACACCCTATATCACAGTGCCTGGGTTCAAGTCTCACCTCCACTCCCAATTCCAGCTTCCTGCTAACATATACCCAGGGAGACAGCAGATGATGGCTCAAGTGCTACCCACATGGGAGACCCAGACTGAATGGCTGGAGGCTGGAATCACCTAGAAACTTCTTCACTTACACATCTGGTATTCGGATTGGGACATGCAAAAGTTGTACTCATTGGGAATTAATTTTTTTAAAGAATTATTTTATTTATTTGAAAGACAGAGTTACAGATATAAGTAGAGCCAGAGAGAGAGGTCTTCCATTCCATTCCACTGGTTCACTCCCCAAATGACTGCAACAGCCAGAGATGAGCTGATCCAAAGCCAGGAGCCAGGAGCTTCTTCCTGGTCCCACATGAGTGCGAGGGCCCAAGCACTTGGGCCATCTTTCAGTGCTTTCCCAGGACATTAGCAGAGAGCTGGATTGGAAGAGGAGCAGCTGGGACTCGAACGGTGCCCATATGGGATGCCGGCCCTGCAGGCTGGGGCTTTAACCTGCTGCGTCACAGTGCCGGCCCCTCATCTGGAATTATTAACCAGAGCTCTTGCACATGTCCCTCCATATGACTTTGACTTTCTCCCTGCATGGTGGCCCTGGGGAAGTTGAATTTCACATAAGGCTGCTGAAGTACCCAGGAGCAAGTGTCCTGGTGGGCAAGGTGCAAGCTGTATGTGTGGGGAGCAACTGGGAGCAACTCGGACTAGACTAAGTTACTGGAATTAAGACTTATTCTATGCATCTGCTTTCCCACAATATGGCGCTGAGAAGGGAAACAGCTTCTACACAGCTGCCTCCAGTTCAACCAATAAACAGCAGGACCTGCTCCTGATTGGAGGAGAGCAGCGTACTCGGCGTGTGGGTAGCAGAGTTGGGATTGGTGGAAGAGGACTATAAAGGAGGAGAGAGACGGCATGCACCAGGAACATCTAAGAGGAACATCTGAGGGAACACCTGTGCAGCCCCCGAGAGAGCCGGCCGGCGGTGTGCCGCTCCCCCGCGGAAGTGGGGAAAGTGGCAGGGGGAACCGCCCTTCCACGGAGGTGGAAGGGACAGCAGCCAACCCGGGAAGAACCAGCAGCAAACCCGGGGAGGGCCGAGCAGATGAAAGAACAGCGCAGGGTCCTGTGTTGTTCCTCCACGAAGACGGGGAGCGACATAATGGTGCCGTGACTTGGATGTGAAGCCTAGGCAGGGTTTAGTGTCGTTCCTCCATGAAGAGGGGGAGCGACATAATGGTGCCGTGACTCGGATATGAAGCCTAGGCAGGGTTTAGTGTCATTCCTCCATGAAGAGGGGGAGCGACAGTATGGCTTTGGATCTTCTTGCCTCCGAAGTCACACTGCATCACTTCCTCTGCATTCAAGTGGTCCAAGCAGTCACACACCTGCCCTGACTCACAGGCAGAGCATATAAACCCCACCTTCTAATGGAAAGCTTGTCACAGCACTTGCTGTCATATTTTAGAAGAGCCACATCACCCCTTCAAGGGGATCACTCTCCCCACAGCCCTAGGATCATCCATGGCAGCCAGGAAAGCCTGGGCCTCCTGCCAGTTAACTGGAGCTGGACAGTGAAACTAGATGTCAGATCTTCCAAGGTCTTCTGGCAAAGGTTCCTGACCTTAAGTAGAATATTCTAGTAAGTCAGTTTATCTTCTTCTCCTAGTTATTGCAGTCCCTGGAGGTGATCTCAAGCTCTCTCAGTCAACACGCAACCCACAAAGAAGTAACAAGAAAAGGCCAACACCTCGAGGCTAGAAGAGCAGAAAGGTGGAAAGAACCCAAGCCCCTGGCTGTGGACCTGAGTATGTAGATTAACCCAAGTCTGACTCCATCCAACCTCCTTGCCTGCTCTTACACAAAACAGAACAAGTCCTATGTCATCAGTTTTAGGGGCTGTTTTCCTTAGAGGCAGCCAAATGGAGAAGGAACTATGGGGTTTTTACTTATTATCCCACCCCTAAAAGGATGGTCACCTTAAGTCTAACTGTCTCAGGTCTTAAATTCACATGCCCCAAATAGAAATCAAATATTTATAAAAGCTACATCACAGCACATAATCTCACCTTGAGACTGGATGCATTCTCACTGCAGATGTCAGAGGCAGTAGGCAGGCCAGAGGGACTGGTGAGGAGCAGTCTTCCAGGGCTTCCTTCCTAAGGGTGCCAAGTTCATTCTAAGGAAAACAGAAGCAGGTTCGATGATGACCCAAGGCCACAGAGGTGGAGGAAGCAGAAACAATGCAACATCTGCTGTTCAAATGCTGGCTGTCCAGACCCACCACGCTGTCATCCCTGAATATCTATGGAACCTTGACAATGGGGCCGTTCTGACGGGTACTAGCTGGCACACTTAGCATCAGGGAGGCCAGCCCAAGACACAGCCAGAGGCTCCTTCAGTGTCAGTATTCCCTGGGTGAATTTGGGCAGGAATAACTAAGTGGCCACTGTGGTAAAATCACTGTTGACAGCCAGGCACATAGGGTGAGGGGGACTAGAGATTACAAGTAACAGTCACAGTGTGAGATGCACAAGCAGGATCCTCCAGCCCAGAAATGGCACAAAATCCAATGGAGATGACATCACTACTCACGCTGATAATGGAAGCCTCTATTTCTCCTCTACAGAAGTCATATTAATGAGACTGCATTCATTAGTTAATTCTGTGGTTTCATACAAGCCATGGGGAAAACGCTATCTTTGAAAGTTCTGCTATTGCCATCACTATTTGAACAACTTTTGCAATAAAGAATACTGAGATTGATATGTAAAAATTTCATTTTGAAATTGAAAACTTCCAAATTCAGTAACTTTCCATGGTGGCTGTTGTGGCCCAGTGGGTTAAGCCACTGCTCGGGACCTCGCACCTCGTATCAGAGCACCTGGTTTGAGTCCTGGCTGCTCCGCACCTGATGCAGCTCCCTGCTAATGCGCCTGGGAGGCAGCAGGTGATGGTCCATGCACTTGGACCCCTGCCACCCACAAGAGGGATCTGAATGGAGTTCCTGGCTCCTGGCTTTGGCCTGGCCCAATCAGACTGTGGCAAGCATTTGGTGAGTGAACCAGCAGACGGAAGATTCTCTCTCTCCCTCTCTAAATAAATAAATAAGAAAGTAAGTAAATAAATAAATAAAACAGGGGAATTTTCTTTTCCTAATAATTCAGGACTTGTTTAGTTGTAATGAACAGAAGCTCCCTCAAACTGGCTTGACCAAAAGGGAATTCATAGGTCCTTGAAACTCGAAAGTCCAGGAATATGAAGTAGCTTCAGACTAAGCTGGATCCATTACCATATCTCGTTCTCCAAGCACTGATGGGAACAGGTGATTGAAATGCGACTGGTTCACCATCCTTGAGGTTACACTGAGAGGAGGGAGTTGGGTGGGGCACTCTGCCAGTTCTGGAGCACTATGCAAGCTTGGAACTTCATCCCCGTGGCCCACACAGTCACCCACTGCATTGAGGGCATTAGATGGGCTCATTGGCTCATTCTCAGCTAGCAAAACAGTACATGTTGGATTTTTAAAAAGATTTTTCACAGAGCATTTACCATTATTGTATATATTTTTAATGTAGCTACTAGAAGCTTGTCCTAGGCAAGCGCGTTCCAGAGACACCCCGTGAAGTAGCAGATGCTCTTGTAAGATTGTTATTACGAGGGAAAAACAAGCTTCATAGTCGAATGTTTGGAACACTAGGTTAAATAGGCTTCTCCAGTTTTTACACTTTGTATTATAAAATACACAGAAAAGCTGAAAGGATAATACAAAAGAACACCCACATATTCATCTTGAAAATTCAACACTTGCTAACATTTCACCATCTTTGCTTTTATATACATACTGTGGCTGGCAGAGAATAATTTGAAAATCGGTTGCATCCATCATGCTACCATCAGGGTTCACCTCTAAACACTCGCACAAGCATCTCCTAACACATTCTTACGTAATCACCAAAGTCTTACTACATTGAAGAAAAGTAACAGCATGTTTCCCTAGTACCCTCTCATATCCCATCGATATTCAAATTTTCCCTTTTGTTAATACAGCCCGCACAGACTTTTCCTCTGAACCAAAAATCTAATCATAGTTCACTCGTATATCTGACCGTGATGTCTCTGCGGGCTCTGAAGATTCTAAAACAGCCTTTCTGACCTTTTTAAAAACGATATTGTGTTTGGAAGGAACCAAGCCAGTTGTCTTGCAGAATATCCCACATTCTGGATGTTCCTGACTATTTCTTCACAGTATCAGAAGTCTTCTGTCTCTTTATAGAAGTGCCTCTCAGAAACTAATACGTCAAGGTGCAAAGTGATTCTCCAAGTGGACAGCTTTTAGGAACCTCTGCCATGTTCACAGTAACCCTTTCTTTAGCAATTGTCCCAGGAGCCAATGCCATGGCGCAAAGGTTAAGCTATCACTTGCAACCCTGGCACGCCATATGGAAGCACCAGTTTGAATCTCAGCCATTCTGCTTCTGATCCAGCTCCCTGCTAAAAGGCCTGGGGAAGCATCAGAAGATGGCCCAAGTACTGGAGCTCCTGCCCCCTACATGGGAGACCCAGAGGGAGTTCCAGCCTTCTGGCTTCAGCCTGGCCCAGCCCTGGTTGTTGTGGCCATTTGGGGAGTAAACCAGTAGATGGAAAAATCTCTCTCTCTCTCTCTCTCTCTCTCTCTCTCTCTCTTTCTCCCTGTGTTACTCTGCTTTTCAGATAAGTAAATGTCTGGTTTTCTTTTTTTAAAAAAGGCAATTGCCCAGGCTTCAACATGCACACACACACACACACACAGGCCCTTGGAAGTGACACATGAGCTTACTGGCTAGTTCATTGGAACCACCTCTTTGTAGACTGGGGCAGATAGGACAAACGGTCATGGAAACTTGGACAAATCTAAAGGAGAAGGCGGTTAGGAAACCAGGGTTTTTAGGTGAGTTTGAATGGCCATTGTAGTGTTTGTATTGGTGATATCTTCCCTTTGAGGGAACAGGCAAGAGACACACACTGAGTGAGGGCTCTAGGGAAGGGACTCACGATGACATATATTAAAGTGCAGCCAGACTGGACGACAACAGAGCAAGCGTGGGTTTGACCTAGATGTTGATGTAATGCACGGTTGGGGAACATCGGCTGCAAAGTCATTGGGTCTGGCCATGCCAACGCAAGCGCAGGCGGGGCTTGAAATCCAATAACAGCAGGCTCATTTTTGAGTTGGCAATTTCATAGAACCTGCGAAGGATGTGATAAATATCCGGATGGACCTTAGCAGAACACACGGCTCGCCTTCGCTGAGGAAGGTGGTGTGCAGTTGGGATCACCCCACTAAAGGAAACTTTGCCTGTGGCATTTTGAGGGAAAGACTCAGGGAAAAAATCCAGGCTGGAAAGCAAGGAGGAAGTAAAAGGAAGGAAGGAGGGCACTCGGCTTTGACAAACAGTGCATTTGGCAGACAGGAGAGAGCCCACGGCCAGGAACGGGTTAAACTGAGATATCTTACTGAGCCCGCCTCGAAGGACCAGAAGTCCAGCAGCAGGTACTGAAGTCCCGGACACGTTCCACCACACAAACCCTGGACACACAGCTCCTGGGGGCAGGCCAGGCCTTGAAGAGCAAGGGGCAGGGGTGGGTGTCTGGGCCGTGGTTGGGACACCAGTTGGAGAATACTTGCAGTCCCCATCAGAGGCTGGGTTCCAGGCCCAGCGCTGCTTCCAACTGCAGCTCCCTAACTAAGGGCTCCCAGGAGTGCTACACGTGACACCTAAAGTAGTCGGGTCCCCGCTACCCCGTGGGACCCAGATTGAGTTTCTGACTCCTGACTTTGGCATGGCCCAGCCCTGGTTGGTGCAGGCATTTGGAAAGTGAGCCAGGGGCTGCGCTGCAGCTCACTAGGCTAATCCTCTGCCTGCGGTGCCGGCACACCAGGTTCTAGTCCCGGTCGGGGCACCGGATTCTGTCCCGGTTGCTCCTCTTCCTGTCCAGCTCTCTGCTCTGGCCTGGGAGTGCAGTGGAGGATGGCCCAGGTCCCTGGGCCCTGCACCCGCATGGAGACCAGGAGAAGCTCCTGGTTTCCGATCAGTGCAGTGCACCGGCCACAGCGTGCCAGCTGCAGTGGCCATTGTGGGGTGAACCAATGGCAAAGGAAGACCTTTCTCTCTGTCTCTCTCACTGTCCACTCTGCCTGTTAAAAATAAAATAAAATAAAATAAAAAAAATAAAAATAAAGAAACTGAACCAGGAGATGGGAGATCTCTTTCTCTCTCTCTCTTACTCTGTGTATGTGTCTGCCTTTCAAATAAAATTTTAATATGCAAAAATATTAAAATGAGAGCATTGGCAGAGGGGCTGTTGCTCCCTCAGAACTGAGGAAACACACTCAGAAGTGTCAACAGAAGAGGTGACAATGTGCCACAGGAGGTAAGAGGTGGCCCAGGTGGAACACACGTGCCATGACCCTGAGTCCCATGAGTGACACCAGAGCAAGAGGGAGTGAAGTCAGCCCCAGTGCTCCAGGCTTAAAGGGCTATCCACAAGGGATGTGCAGACCTGGACCCTAGTAACAGAGCCCACCCTCAAAACAGCCCACGCATGCCGGAAGCACCAGCCTCGGCAGGATGCTAGAGGGGCTCCAGTTCCAGAGGCTTCACTCAGACTTGCACTCCTGGACTCTTCCCAGCTGGCATCAGAGAGGCCCGATTGAAAACAACCACTACATGGGGCCAGCACTGTGGTGTAGCAGGTAAAGCCACATCCTATATGGGCACCAGTTCGAGTCCCAGCTGCTCTACTTCCAATCCAGCTCCCTGCTAATATGCCTGTGGAAGCAGTGGAATATGGTCCAAGTGCTTGGGCCCCTGCCCCCATGTGGGAGACCTGGAAGAAGCTTCTGGCTCCTGGCTTCAGTATCGCCCAGCTCCAGCCATTGTAGTCATTTGGGGAGTGAACCAGTGGATGGAGGATCTCTCTCTCTCTCTCTCTCTCTCTCCCTCTCTCTTTTTCTCTCTCTCTCCTTCAAACTCTGCCTTTTAAATAAATACATATTTTTAAAAAAAGAAAGAGACAGAGAGAGACGGAAGGAAGGAAGGAAGGAAGGAAGGAAGGAAGGAAGGAAGGAAAGAAGGGAGGGAGGCAGGGAGAGAGGGAAAGAAAACCACCACCAGTAAAACACACAAAGCTAACGAA